TTGGACTGGTTTGGACTGGTTTGGAGTCTGGGGTTACTGGTTTGGACTGGGACGAACTGGGAGGGGTCTGGGCCAGACTGGGATGAACTGGGATGTTCGTGGTTTATACTGGTCCATACTGGTTTATACTGGTCCGTACTGGTCCATACTGGTCCATACTGGTTTATACTGGTTTATACTGGTCCCTGTCCCCCCCAGCCCCCCTCCGACGCCCCTGATTGGCTGCTGAATCTCCATGACGACCACGAGGGGGAGGAGCCTATGGAGGACGACAGCGCGGAGTGGGAGGAGCCTCGGGAGTGAGTGGGCGTGGCCTCAATGTGCTGGGCGTGGGTTAACGTCTCCAGCCACGCCCATTTATGGTCATGCCACGCCCTCGCAGGGTGGAAATGGGCGGGGCTTTCCCCGGATTGGCCGAGGCGGCGCTGGGGGCGCTGGGGGAGCTGGCGGAGAACTGCGGGTAAGTGGTTTATACTGGTTTGTACTGGTTTATACTGGTTTGGACTGGTTTGGGCTGGTTTGGGGTTTGGGGTTACTGGTTTATACTGGGAGGGAACTGGGAGGGACTGGGGGTTACTGGGATGAACTGGGATGGGGTTTTTGCCTTACTGGTTTATACTGGGATGAACTGGGAGGGGATTCAAGGTTACTGGTTTATACTGGTTTGGGGTTTGGGGTTACTGGTTTATACTGGGAGGGAACTGGGAGGGACTGGGGGTTACTGGGATGAACTGGGATGGGGTTTTTGCCTTACTGGTTTATACTGGGATGAACTGGGAGGGGATTCAAGGTTACTGGTTTATACTGGTTTGGGCTGGTTTGGGCTGGTTTGGGGTTACTGGTTTATACTGGGAGGGAACTGGGAGGGACTGGGGGTTACTGGGATGAACTGGGATGGGGTTTTTGCCTTACTGGTTTATACTGGGATGAACTGGGAGGGGATTCAAGGTTACTGGTTTGTACTGGTTTGGGGTCCGGGGTTACTGGGGGTTACTGGTTTATACTGGGAGGGGATTTGGGGGTTACTGGTTTGTACTGGTTTATACTGGTTTGGGGTTTGGGGTTTGGGGTTACTGGTGTATACTGGGGTGGATTGGGAAGGAACTGGGAAGTCTCTGGGTGGGTGACTACTGGTTTATACTGGTTTATACTGGTCTGTACTGGTTTATACTGGTCCATACTGGTCCATACCAGTCCATACTGGTTTGTACTGGTCCGTACTGGTCCATACTGGTCCATACCAGTCCATACTGGTTTGTACTGGTCCGTACTGGTCCATACTGGTCCATACCAGTCCATACTGGTTTGTACTGGTCCGTACTGGTCCATACTGGTCCATACCAGTCCATACTGGTTTGTACTGGTCCGTACTGGTCCATACTGGTCCATACCAGTCCATACTGGTTTGTACTGGTCCGTACTGGTCCATACTGGTCCATACCAGTCCATACTGGTTTGTACTGGTCTGTACTGGTCTATACTGGTCCATACCGGTCCATACTGGTTTATACTGGTCCCCAGCTCCGCCCTCCTGCCCTACCTGGACTCCTCCCTCGCCGCCATCTTGGATCTGACCCAGGTGAGCCCCTCCCAGTTCATCCCAGTACAAACCAGTAACCCCGAGTCCCCCTCCCGGTGGCTCCCAGTCCAAACCAGTAACTCCCAGTACAAACCAGTAACCCCCAGTCCCTCCCAGTTCCCGCAGTGCCAGCTCAGAGCCGCCGCCTACGAGGCCCTGGGGAGCGTCTGCTGCTGCGGGAGGGAGCGCCAGACTGGTTTGTACTGGTTTATACTGGTTTGGGCTGGGAGGGACTGGGAGGGACCGGGGGGGTGGGAGGCAGACCGGTTTATACTGGTTTGGACTGGTTTGTACTGGTTTATACAGGTTTGGGCTGGGAGGGGGCTGGGAGGGGACTGGTTTGTACTGGTTAGGTCCGTACTGGTTTATACTGGTTTGTCGTGGTCCATACTGGTCCATTCTGGTCCTTACTGGTCCATACTGGTCTGTACTGGTTTATACTGGTCTGTACTGGTTTATACTGGTCCATACTGGTCCGTACGGGTCCGTATTGGTCCATACTGGTCCATATGGGTCCATACTGGTTTATACTGGTTTATACTGGTCCATACTGGTCCATACTGGTCCGTACTGGTTTATACTGGTCCATACTGGTCCATACTGGTTTATACTGGTTTATACTGGTCCATACTGGTTTATACTGGTTTATACTGGTTTCCCTTCCAGCCCCTTCCCCCGTCCACCAGGGGGCGCTCCAGGCCCTCCTGAAGGGGCTCCGGAAGGACCCGGAAGTGGGCGGGGCCTTGGGGGCAGTGGGCGGGGTCGGGCGGATCCTGCAGCCCCCAGGCCACGCCCACAAGGAGTGGCTGGAGCCCATTGGACGAGCCCTGTGTGACGTCATCGCCGGGGAGGTGAGGGGGCGGAGCTGTAACGTGAAGGGGCGGAGCTTAATGACATTAAAGAGGTGGGAGGGGCCTAAAATGGGGTGGGCGGGGCTTAATGAGGCATTGATGGGATTGTGGGCGTGGCTTAAGACCAGTGGGTGGGGCTTACGGGATTGTGGGCGTGGCTTGAGCCAGGTTTAAATGAGGTGGGTGTGGCCTAAGTGTTTAACCAATGGGGCGTGGCCTGTGTGTGCCGTGGGCGTGGTTTGGGGGTGGGCGTGGCTCCACAAGCTCCTCCCCCTTCCAGATCGCCTGTCTGAGATCGCGGCGGGACGGCGACGAGGACGAGGTGGGGGAGGGGCTCCCAGTTCAAACCAGTTCAGCCCAGTTTGATCCCAGTCTGTCCCAGTTTGCTCCCAGTTTGATCCCAGTCTGTCCCAGTTTGATCCCAGTTTGATCCCAGTCCATCCCACTTTTCTCCCAGTCCAAACCAGTTCCCTCCCAGTAACCTCTAAACCTCTCCCATTCCCTCCCAGTTTGATCCCAGTCTCTCCCAGTTTGATCCCAGTTTGATTCCAGTCTGTTCCAGTTTATCCCAGTCCCTCCCAGTCTGTCCCAGTCTGACCCCAGACTATCCCAATTCGATCCCAGTTTGATCTCAGTTTATTCCAGTCCATCCCAGTTCATCCCAGTATAAACCAGTTTGAACCAGTCCCTCCCAGTTTCATCCCAGTCCTTCCCAGTTTGATCCCAGTCTGTCCCAGTTTGATCCCAGTCTGTCCCAGTTTGATCCCAGTCTGTCCCAGTTTGATCCCAGTCTGTCCCAGTTTGATCCCAGTCTGTCCCAGTTTGATCCCAGTCTGTCCCAGTTTGATCCCAGTCTGTCCCAGTTTGATCCCAGTCTGTCCCAGTTTGATCCCAGTCTGTCCCAGTTTGATCCCAGTCTGTCCCAGTTTGATCCCAGTCTGTCCCAGTTTGATCCCAGTCTGTCCCAGTTTGATCCCAGTCTGTCCCAGTTTGATCCCAGTCTGTCCCAGTTTGATCCCAGTCTGTCCCAGTTTGATCCCAGTCTGTCCCAGTTTGATCCCAGTCTGTCCCAGTTTGATCCCAGTCTGTCCCAGTTTGATCCCAGTCTGTCCCAGTTTGATCCCAGTCTGTCCCAGTTTGATCCCAGTCTGTCCCAGTTTGATCCCAGTCTGTCCCAGTTTGATCCCAGTCTGTCCCAGTTTGATCCCAGTCTGTCCCAGTTTGATCCCAGTCTGTCCCAGTTTGATCCCAGTCTGTCCCAGTTTGATCCCAGTCTGTCCCAGTTTGATCCCAGTCTGTCCCAGTTTGATCCCAGTCTGTCCCAGTTTGATCCCAGTCTGTCCCAGTTTGATCCCAGCCCCTCCCAGTCACCCCCATCCCCCCCAGACCTCCCAGCGCGCCGAGCTCCGCGAGACCGCCTCCGATTGGCTGCCGGAACTGGGCGTGGCCATGGCCGAGGAGGGCGTGGCCGGCACCGGAGGGGGCGTGGCCTTCCCGCCCCGCCTCTTCCGCCGCATCCTCCCCTCCCTATTGGCCGCCCTGGCCGACCCCGCCCGCCCGGGGGCGCGCTCGTGGGCGGCGGCCGTGATTGGCCAGCTGGGCCGCGCCCTCGGGCCGGAGGCCACGCCCTTTCTGCCGGATTTGGGCCCCGCCTTCCGATTGGCCGTCGGCGACCCCGACGACGAGGTCAGGGCCAACGCCTACTACGCCATTGGCCGGATCGGGGAGGCCATGGGACACGCCCACCACGAGTATCCACCAATCAGAGTGAAGGGGAGGTTAAGCCACGCCCACCACCCTTAAACCCCTCCCACCAACCTTAAACCCCTCCCATATGTCTATAAATAGACTTAAGCCCCGCCCACCACCCTTAAACTCCTCTCAGTACCTTTAAACCCCACCCATTCTACTTAGACCACGCCCACAACTCCTTAAAAGGGCTTAAGCCACGCCCAGTGCCCGTAAGCTCCTCCCACCAGCCTTAAACTCCACCCACATTTCCTTAAATGGGCTGTGGCTCCTCCCACGCTCTTTAAGCCACGCCCACAGTGCTATAAAAGGCTGTGGGCTCCTCCCATTCGTTTAAACTCCGCCCACAAGCCATTACTGGTTTTAACCCCGCCCACATTCCCTTAAAAGGATTTAAACTCCGCCCCACCATTAAACCCCGCCCACAACCCATTAAAGGCTTTTAACCCCGCCCACCAGCCTTAAACCCCGCCCACATTCCCATATAAGGCCAAGCCCCGCCCCCATTCCCATCCTAAGCCCTGAAGCCCCTCCTCCTGTTTAAGCCCCGCCCCTTTTTTCCTTAACTGGCGCTCAGGGGGGCGTGGCCGGGGGCGGAGCTTTGCTGCCACGCCCTCCGGGCCGGGGGGGAGGGGCCAGGACGGGTCCGGGACAACGTCCTGGGAGCGCTGGTGCGCCAGCAGGGGGCGCCCTGCGACACGGTACGGGGCTGCTGGGAGGGGCTTGGGGTTACTGGGAGGGCACTGGGCCATACTGGTTTATACTGGGAGGGACTGGGAGGGGCTTTGGGGGTAACTGGTTTGTACTGGTTTGTACTGGGAGGGGTTTGGGGTTACTGGTTTGTAGGGTCTTGGGGGTTACTGGGAGGGCAGTGGGCCATACTGGTTTATACTGGGATGGACTGGGATGAATGGGGAGGGGGGTCACTGGGAGCCTATACTGGTCCATACTGGTCCATGCT